TGAGTGTGGCGTCACCGACCAGGACAATGGCTCTTCTCTGGACGGAATCTAAGACAATCAGCTAATGTTTTGGTGATGAACCCCATATGTGGGAACAGTATTCTAGAACAGGCCGTATCTTCAGATTTTTGTCGCATTGGTTGCTTGGCAACTAATACTTGATCCTTACTAGCGAAAACCCGGTATTTATATTGCAAATCAGTAATTTTGGCCATTTCAATTCCCCGTATCTAGCCAAATAAGGCACTCCTGCTAAGCAAAAACCACTCATCTACACAGTACTAAACGAGAACACCGCATCTGCATATGTGGCGCGTGCAGATACGTGGTTTTCGCCTAGCAACATGGTTTCAATTTCTTACAGTATGCAAAATATGTATGTACAATTCTCAGCAAAAACATCGCATCTGTTTTTTCATATTGAAAAACATAATTTTTTGAATTGTTAACCGGTTTAATCGATTTCGAAACGTTATTGACATACAAAAATACTGATATATCCGACCCAAAATGATACTCAAGTAAATGACAGCTATCAAATTTCACTGTTTAATGCGTTTACTACATTTCAGCTTTTTTGTAGATACGGGAGTTGTGCTTAGGACGGCAGTTTAAATAGCCTACATCCGCGTCCAGAAACACCAGCGACTACCCCTTCTTCCATTTTTGAACCATCGGTGTACCAAACAAGGGACCATCTGTCCAGGATTGGACCAGCAATAGACGTATTGGCCCAGAATGGACGGAATGTACCAAGATTGAACGGAATCATTATATTTATTCGACTGGAAGTGGCCAAATCTGACAGAAAATTACATCGGGAATGGACGCTGAGTGTACACATATTGAACTGAGCGGATGAGAGTTCATTCGTCCAAAAACGTACAGAAAGATTGCATTTGTTGAGGACGAGATTTGACGGGACTGGATCTAATTTGAGGAAATTGTACAATAATGGACATAAACTGCTTGATATTGGAACGACTGATTTTGATTGGTAATTGGTGTAAAATTGAAATATCACCGCATAGGCCGTGAGAAAATTTCAGTTCGAAAAAATTCGTTGCTTTCCAACGGACTAAAATACTACATAAGCATATTTTGGAGTAAGAAGTTGCTCCGAGAAAGTAGCAATTTTTGAGGGTTTTCAGAAATAAAATATGTTTTCTGATTTTTCCTCATTTATTCAACCCTCTTTTCACACGAAAAATCTCATAAAATCGAAGAAACCATGAAAATTTCCACCGGTAGTAATATCTTTGTTTCTGATTGACTCGGCTGTTACTTGATGGAAATCCATGGCAAATGTAAAAACTTCGCAAAATTTTGTGGAAATCTTATCGTTTGTGAAGTTTTTACATTCGGTAGTAATACCGGTGGGAAAGCAGCAACGCGACAACATCCAGCAACGAATGAGATCTCTAAATGCAGAGAAACGATGTCAAATCAAATAAGAAGGGGAAATATTATGAATTTCATGATGTATTCTACTGAAAAGAATGGAAAACAATTCACTGGACACCATCAGATAGTTTTCTGATTTTGTAGCTTCCACTCCACCCCTCTTCCACCCTCTGATCAAAATAATCCAAATTCCTACTTGGAGCTCAGAAAATAAATTTTTCGAAATATTTTTTTCTTGAAACGTAATTAATGACATTGTTGAACTTGTGGAGGAAATGGACCAGCTGTATTTGTTGAAAACGATATTTGTAAGCAATATAAAATGTGATGTCCAGCACTAACCATGATAACTTCATAAATGAATGGAATAAAGCAGGTGTAAACAGTAAGAAATATAGTGGCATTGCATAAAAAGCACACCACACAAAATACTAACAGGCACACCGACAGCTGATCTGATATTGTGGTTATGTATGCTTTTGTTTACCAGTTTTACTTGTGTCGATTTTTGATCTCCAGTTATTCGTTAGCCTACGTCCAGTTCATAGTTGTTTTGCTAGGTGATCATCGCTATTTTTATGATATAAACATTAACAAGGACGCCAAATTGTCTTCTTCATCATCAACTAAATTCAGGCTACTTAGATCTAGAATGTACGTCACAGTTTGCCGCCCCGAAAATTGGAAATTGCTTTATGTTGAAAATAAAAACGACTTGGACTTTATCGATCTCCATAAGGGTGACGAGATTCTGTATCTGAGAAGCTGAGAATTTTGTCAACAAGGACTGTATCAAGAAAGGAATGTTTGACGAATGAAATAAAAAATCATACATGTCATTCTGGGGTTCTTACCGTCCTCGCTAAGGGGCGTGTTTTATAGACTATTAGTTTCTGAGATACAGTACCTCGCCACCCTTATTGAATCACCTGGTATATCGTGGATATGAAACTGAGGAGTTCCGAACTTATTTTATGAAAATTCATCTAAAGGAAAATTCCCCATTGAGATCTAATACTGAACTATCTCATAGAAAATAACTACATTCACATGATACAAGAATTAAACATTACCTAAATGTGCAGGAACCAAGAACAAATAGAGTACTGAATAACCCAATAGATAGAGCAGTAAAAGCAAATTATTATGAGGTACCTACCAGTGACTTTAAAGCATACTGCAACGTATAATATAAATATCCACTGAAATGCTGGAGTATGAACAAATTTCAATCACAAAATTATCAAATGTAATATTATTGTTGTCTTATGTCAATGAACGGGCTCAGTAAAAGTATCATATGATTTAATTTTTTTACCTGTATCAACAGTAGTTATCATTAATGTTCATTAATATTGTGTAATAATAATAAAAGGGTGTCCAATTTAAAGAGACCTTAGCCTATGTACATAATGAATGATATTTTTATTTTAACTAGGAATTAATTCATTCGGGAATTTAAATATGCACTGTATACCTTGGAATTACTGAAGTATTTACTCCCTCGGATTTAGTTCAGATGTGATTTTGATATAAGTATTATGTGGCATGATTTATTATTTTTCCCTTTTAGATTATCCATATATAAAATAGTTATCGATACATATTTTACTTTAATTTTTTTTATACGCCTTCGCGGACTCATTCTTCGAAGCCTATACAATTGACCCCGGTACTCCTTCACCTCAATGGGCTTATATCACAAAAAATTTTTATTACATAATTCGATAGAACTCACCCAAACTAGCTCACCACCGCAAACCGTTTCTTGCTGTGAGCTCCCTACGTTTTATTAAGAATTATTGAAATCCCCGATTTTTCGGACCTCTGAAAACGAGGCGATGATGTGACGTCAAAACCCTAATACTGAAACAAGACTATTCCAGACAGAGGTGAATGATACATGATTTCTGACAGAGTGAATTAGCACGAGATCAAAGTTGAAAGAATTAATATATCAGTTGCCTCAGTCTCCGTCGGGCGTTTGATATTTTCTTCTAACTATGGCGAGATGAGGTTTCTACGTCATGAGAGGGTCCGTTTTCAGAAGGTACTATCATTTATGTCCAAAAATAAAATATTCCAGTTAAGTTTTCGATCGAATTATATCGTCAATCATTATTTATGTATAAAAGGATCATTATAAACATGGTTTGAGTTCAAAGTTTTACTAAGGTGTACACGCCCATTGAATGCTGATACCAGCCAAATTTTGAATTCATTTATTTTTTTATTTCATATTTAGTTTTATTCATTCATTTTAATTTTTGTAGTTTCAAATAATGAAAAAGTTGATATAAATGCCTTTCTTATTTTTATACACAACATATTTGAACAGAAAAAATAATTTGTAAGTAAAAATATAACGAAAATAAGTTGTCTGTCAGTATGGATAATTATCCGATAATTATCTGATAATTATCAAAAAGAAATAATTATCTTGATAATTACAAACCCTGATATTTCGCCCTTGTAGAAAGATAATATCCAATGAACCACAACAGTACCAACAGTATACCACACTTTTGTATTTTTTTATGAAAAAAATCAGAGCAAGACATATTTTCCCTGTCAAAAGAGCAACTTTTTAATACTCTTCCATTGATGAGCATGAAGGACTGCTATACTTTATTCAGTCCAGAAGTTATTACTCCATGGTCTCTCCTAAGCCTGCTTTACATGAGTTCCAGTCCTGCTGTCTTGCTAGCTTCACAAAGGTGTAACATATCAATGATTCCCTAGCAATTAAATTGGTTTCTTGAGTTTCAGTTTGGAGACTGAAGGACATAATCCAGTCCCAAAAGTAGACTCCTTGATTGATAGAACAGTACAGCTTTGGAATAAATTCTTTGCCAGAGGAAGTATTCCCAAGAACTTCTAATCTTCAAATGTTCCTACCTACCTTCTCTCTCTATCTTCCCTAGGTATGCATGATGTTCTTTAAATATTGATCATTCCAGAATTACATCATTTGACAAGTTGCTGAGGGGCAAACATTGTATTCTGTCCTTGGAATCCGAGTTGGAACCAGAAAGAGTTTCATAAGTTTGTTCTTTGGAACTGTTATTATATTGTGGATATGGCAGGGATGGCCAGGGCTATGCTCATCAAAGGTGATCTAACAGATGGTTTGTGTGCCCCTCAAGAAACCATGTCAAAATCACATGTTCTGGAATAGTCAATAATTGGGATTCCCTTTTGTTCCCTCTAAGAAATGAAAAAACTGCTTCACAACATGAGTTGGGCATTGAAAATATTTTAATTTACTGTATAAATATAAAAAAATGAAGTTGGCAGTTGAGTTTCATAATAATAATAATAATAATAGGGGGTATTCTAGGTCTTCATATTTTCTCTTCCTGTATCAATTAAGCTGATGTTTCTTAAATATTTTATCCTACTAGAGGTCCTACTGTGAATCTAGTTAGATTCAATGAGAAATGTCAATTTTATCAGGAATTCCACTAATATGTTGAGCAGAATATTGGCATACTGCAAACATCTTAAGAACAGAATATTTAGAATTGTGGGCATTTTTAACCTGAGTAATAGACCTATCTATATTCAATATTTAGATAAATATGCAGTTTCTTTACCTCTTCATTTTGCAGTATCAGATTCAGAGAAGCAGTTTTTCCAGTACCAGGAGGTCCACTGATATACAATGAACCTGAGGCTTTATTAGTCAAATGATCTTTCAAGTACAGTTGGAGCTGTTCTAATTCTTCTTCTCGTCCTGGCATATCCTTAGGAAAAGAACTGTGAAGAGCTTGCCTTGCATTTTGATAGGTGCTGATCTTCCTTGCATACATATTTTTTAGCTCAATTTGAATCTCTTTGTCATGCTCACAAATTCAATGTGTTTTAATGATGCTATTTTTCCATCAGACCACTTATTAATCCTTCTTGCTTCTTGTTATATTGTTCTTGAACCTGAGTTGAACCAATATTCTTTGGTTGAACCAAAACTCCCCGTTGAACCAAAACTATTCTTTGGTTGAACCACCGTCTACCGGTGTGAATTTGGCAGACCAACAAGCGGGAGCAAGCGCGCCAGCGGTTAAAATTTCCGAAGTTACCCGAAAGACCAGTGGCGTAGTAAATATATTTTCAGGCTGTTAACTTGGCAGACCATCAACGGCTACGTTTTTGAAGATACGCAAATCAATGACGGCTAAATATCAAGTAGATATCAAGCAAGCTGCCGTCGCTGCCGACCCTGCTGCCTCAAATGAACAGTGGCTGACCTCGAAAATATTTTTCTGTCTGTAAAATTATTCGAATAAGATATTATGATTCCTATTCGCATTACAATTATTACAGTTATGGTGAAATAAACATATCAATACCTAGCAAAAATACAAGTATTTACTTATTTTTTTCTCCTTTACAGGACTGCCGCTATCAAACATAATGGTAACGCTTTAATTTCCTCTAAAGAATATAATTTCCACCAGGAATAATTTCTATCTCTGCCTGCCGAGTAATCTTTTTTTTTCGATACACCACCCTTAAATTCAAAATTCTGTTGCAACTGTTGAAGACTACATGTTGGTCTTCAAATAGTGACCACTGCGCTATTCTGCCGTCTAGGTATCTTTGTATTTCATTATATATCATCATATTAGGTCCTGTCAACCATGCTATGAAGTTGGTATATAGCAATCATTTTTCATTAGTTTTCTGGGACAAGTCCGGAGAACGTACCTACCATATAGGTACGTATTAATAAACAATACGGATCATAACGGGTGCCAGGATGAAGCCAAAAATATGAAACAAATGAATATATCCTTAAGGATTTGGTGGCATGATACGCATGCGCCATGCGCTATTATAGTAGTCATCAAAGACATGCGTTTCGGTGGACAATGACGTTTACTAGCCTTTCAATCAAAGCAGTATGTGTCTGATCGTTTCAAAACTTTTCCTTATGGATAGTCATTTGTCTTCAAAAATCGGCTTCATGTTTCGCTATGGAAACAGATAGGGATTATCCGTATTGATTATTAATACGTATATGGTACCTACTGACTGCCTCTATAGAAGTGCTAACATGTATTTCCAAAGTAAAATTTCTTGAATAAATTGAATTGAAGATTCACGTGCCGACCACGATCGTTACCCCCGATACTAACAATCGGGGGTAACGCCACGATCCACCTCCACGGAGACTTCAACTGATTAGGTATACCATGCATACAAAATATAATGTTGTACCAGTATGGAAAGCGGTATTCCAGTGACTATTTTTGAAACATCATCGTTTTTCACCATCAGTTCTCACAGTATTTGGGGGCCAGGTAGCCGTGCGGACAGAGTGTCTATATTCTAATTCGCATTCGCTTGCCGGTCGTGGGTTCGATTCCCACCGACTGCAGAAATTTTTCTGATGGCCCAAGAAAGTGTCTGGGATCACACGTTAAAAGGTAAGGCCCCCGTCATTCCTTGCTCGCACAAGACTTTCGAAGACTTCTGAGGGTTGCTCGTAAGGGGGCAACCGAATGACGGATAGAACAATTTACAATTTTTAGTTATATAACACAGCTCAGGACTTGCTTCAATATTGTTTTACGATACATCTTGAATCGGTTTTTCACAAATACTCAGAAGAAACAATTTGGTCAACTACATGAACTAATAAATATTAATTCACAATCATGCACAATAAATTTATCTCCATAATATAACTCGAAAAACACATTCAGATGATTTATCTATTCGCTCTCGCTCTCTCTAATTTATACTAAGGTACCTATTTGAGATATCATTCTTTGGATGAAAATAAAGCCTTTCTATTATGTTTGATCGCGGCAGTCCTGTGCTGAGCTTCAGAAATGAATTTTGAATTCAAGGGTGGTGCATAAAAAAAATTCTCAGCAGGCAGAGGTAGGTAGTATTTATTCCTGGTAGGTATCATTCTTTCTGAAAATAAAGCTTTTCTATCATCTTTGATGGCGGTAGTCCAGTGCTGAGCTTCAGAAACGAATTTTGAATTCGAGGGTGGTGCATCGAAGAAAAAATACTCAGAGGTAGTATTTATTCCTGTAGGTATCATTCTTTGGATGAAAATAAAGCCTCTCTATCATGTTTGATCACGGCAGTCTTCTGCTGAGCTTCAAGAATAAATTTTGAATTTAAGGATGGTGTATCACAAAAAAATACTCAGCAGGCAGAGGTAGAAATTAATCCTGGTAGAAATCATATTCTTTAGAAAGCGTTACCAACATGTTAGATAGCGGGAGTTCTGAAGCCAAGCCCTGGGAATATAAATTATATTATTTTTCTTCATCATGCAATGGGTGGTGTGACACCACATACTTTTGTAAAGGAGAAAAAATTAAGTAAATACTTGTATATTTGCTAGGTATTCATGTGTTTTTTCCGCTATAACTGTGATCATTGTTATGCGAATAGGAATCATATCGTATTCGAATAATGTTACAGACAGAAAAATATTTTCAAGGTCAGCCATTGTTCATTCGAGTATCTTCAGAAATTTAGATGTTGATTGTCTGTTAAGTTGACACTCTAAAAAAATATTCGGTACGCCACTGGTCTTTCAGGTAACTTCAAAAATTTCAGCCGCTGGCTTGGTACATGGTCTGCCACTACCACTACCATTCACACCGGTTTTTCCACAATCGTCTGAAATCTGAAAGATTTTCCAGATTTATGATACTAATAACAATCCACACCTCATTTTCTCTGTTTTATATGTATGATAACGCACTATCTTTTCTTTTTCACTAACCAAAAGAAAATGTTATCAAAACTAGTATGAGATTTACCTATTCCGCACAAAGCAAATCGAGAATTGAATACACAAGGGATGAAATGAGGAACAATGGTTTTGCAGTTGCCGAATTAGTAAGATTACCGTACGTGGGACTAGACTAACCAGATAATCCAACTCTGTCTATACTTCAATGAAGAATGAAAGAATAATTGGAAAGTATCCTTATTCAGATGAATTTTCATTTAATAAGTTCGGAACTCTCCAGTTTCATTCCACGCTGTACAGAATGGTGACCGATAAAGTATAAGTCGTTTTCATTTTCAAATAAAAACAATTTCTAATTTTCGGGGCGACAAACTGTGACGTACATTCTGAATCTAGTCTGAAAATAGCTGATGGTGAAGAAAATAGCTAGCGAATAGCTAGCGAATATCTGAAACCACCGCCGTTAGGGATTCAGAGAGTTTCTCATGAGAACGGTGCCGAGATGCTGACTTTGCGTATTCACTTGAATTATAATATTTCATATTTTATAGTTAGTCTGAAGGCGGGTTTCCACTAGGCGGAAAATCCGAAGCGGATTTTCAGTGTCACAATTCTATTGGATGGCTTGAAACTGAAAGATTTTGCCGCCAATTTTTTTGCGGATATGCAAATAAGTTGACATAGTTTCAACTTTTTGCGGATTTTACTAGATTTATAACCTCAAAATATGATTATGATTTAATAACCTCGAAATCGAACTTAGTTTTTGAGTTAAAAGTTTTTTTGGCAGAACTATTATGGAACCTGAATATTATAATTACCTACTCCAATATGATCATTGGAGAAAATCGATAATTTTATGTGTTTTGTATATGAAAAACAGAAAAAGACAACACTGATTTTGGGTGAGGGATATTTTTAAACATAGAAGTAGAAATGATAAGATATGAGAAGTACTCTGTATCAATGAAATCCGAAATAAATATGAGTAGGTATTCAATAACTATTCATACCTCTTCTTGCATGATTTTAATATCTTATTTCTGGGGTTTTGAATGTTTTGATTCTGAATTTCATTAATTAAAGTATCCAGTCCAACATATAATAATGATAATAATAGGTCGCGTGCACGATGACCGACCCTGGAGGCAAAATATTGAAACACAACCTCATTCTTCTGTAAATTATTGAAACACAACCTCACTTTTTTATTTGGTTACAGAGGAATCAAAGGATTGAAATAGTTTTTCACAATATTTTGGCATACGAATCGTGTTTTTTGCGCTATTCATTAATTCAAGCATGCCTTCGCATTGTGCTGCTGTACAATGCACAAAAAATGCAGCAAGAGACTTAGGAATATGATTTTTCAGGTAGATAGTAATCTCACATAGTTATCATTATGAAATGTTGTCATTCCTTATTGAAATTCCTTCTGCCTTCTGCCACTCCTGCAATACAAGCTAATACTGCTAATAGATTGAAAATGTCTACAACACACACGATCGTCAGCATGTCAGACCGGTCCTCCCGATTGATTGCATGAATCCAATCTTCTTGCATTATTTTAGAAATTTCAGGTGTATTTCTATTAGCTCCTATCGCAGAAGGAATTCCGATGAGAAATCAGAGAAATTACCAAATTTCAAAAATGAAAACTATATGTGAGTGACTATTATAGTAGGTACTTACTTTTAAATCATATTGTACCAACCGGATTACTTCGTCTTCCGCTGCAGTTTTTGTGCATTTCACAACAGCATAATGTGATGGCATGAGCGAATTGATGAATAGCGGAAAAATACGATTCGTATTCCAAAATAATTGTGAAAAACTATTTCAATCACTTGTAAACAAATAAGTAAAGTGACGTTTGTGTTTCAATATTTTGCCTCCAGTGTCGGTCATCTGACAGTTCTTGCACGCAACCCATAGAGATAATAACCATATTTTGAGGTTATACTACTGCTACCAACTGTGGATGATGACAAACTATTTTTAGGTAGCAGAAAAAATCCCAAGAAATTGTTGCTGAAATGAAGCTGGCAATGGAAACCTTAGCGTATTTTTTTAGTTGATTTTTAAATCCGCTTCGGATTTTCCGCCTAATGGAAACCCGTCTTGACTTTAGAATTCTTACTGTTCACTTGGTACCTACTTTTGATATTTGTTGAGTTCTGTTCCGAAATAAATCTTTTAAAAAACAAGATTTCCCGGGTTCAAACTTTAACTAGCTCGATCCTAAACAAAAACAAAAATATCATCGAATCAATGACTCATTATCGGCTACATTCAATGATTTTATCCTTCCTAATTTAC